TATATAAAATTGGTCATGCATGAAACATTAATTGAGATGGCAAAGAGGTGAAAATTAAATAGTAAGGATCGATGAATGATAACAAAGAAAACTACATAGTTATTTGGATATGTACTTATATATGATCTACTCAGTGAGTTATTTGGTGTGGATAATCTTTTTCTTTTAAATATCTCATTGATTGTACAAAAATTTAAATTTAAAAGGTTAATGATAATAGCTAGAACAATGATTAATATATTTTTAATTTAATACCTTATAATATATTTATTAAAAAATTATTAAAAAACTAAAAAATACTTTATTTTTAAAGCTAAATTAGATTTTTTTAATATTTTTTTTTAATTTTTAAAAGATAAGATAAATAAATATTAACCTTTTATAATATTAAAAAATTAATTAATTAAATCTTTTCTTGAATGTTTTATTATTGACAACAAAAGTCATATACAGGTTTAGTTTCACAATGTTATCTGATGCTCTCATATAGCTATAGTTGTTAGAAATATTGTGTTACACTGTCATAAAAAATATTTTAGTGTTTGGTAATTATATTTCAAAACAACTATATATTGTAAAATTACTCAACTAGACATATTATTATTTAAAATTAAATTAATTACTAATGTACAAAAAAATAATTTGAAAATTTTATTAAATTATTTGGGAATTTTGGATAAAATGACTTTTGTTTGCCTTTCTGAAAAAAATAGGAATGAATAATTTACCAAACATATAAGTTATAAAAAGTTTTACAAAAATTATTATAAATAGTGTTATCAAATTAAGTCATAGTTATAATATTAAGTACTTTTATAATGATAATATAAAATTAAATAAGTAAATATATATAATATAATATATGATTTTTAAATTAAAAAACATAATTATAAATTATTATTATAATTATAATATTTTTGTATTAACAGAAAAAGGTCAATTACATATTATTATTGTTTCATGTAAATTTTTTTTTAAAAAATTACATTATAGGATGCCACAATTTCCATCACTTAATCTACCCATTCACGTGCAATCATTTTTTTATTTATTGATAACAACATCAAGATTCTTACTACTACAGTAGAATGTATAGTCATGTAGAATCTAAACAAAGAGATTCTGAGAGCATGTATAATAGAAAACAATACAAAAATTCAATTTACAATCATATTATTATAATTAATATTATTTTATATAAATTTATATTTTTATTTACTT